GGTGCCAATAAGTGGTTTACAAAGGCACCGGTTCAAACCGGTGCCAAAACTCGGAATTAGCATCGGTTAACCGGTGCCAAAAATGGCCAAAAAAAATTAGTTTGTTGTTTTTGGCACTGGTTAACCGGTGCCAAAAGTGCCAAAAAATATATAATTTTTTATTTATTTTTTGTTTTTTCCATTTAAAAATTAAATAAACTAAAATACAGAACAACATCAAAACATAACATAAATCGAATATCGATTAAAACAACATCAATATCATCGAAAATTTGCAACATCAATATCATCGAAAATTTGCTATACATAATCAAAAAAAAATTACAACATATAAATACTTCGATTACAACATATAAATACAAAAAAAAATTACAATATAATTTTTTTTTAAAAAAATTACAATATTGTTAATAAAAAAAAAACACCATTCATTCTTGTATCTTGCTTCTTCGATTTCAGAACTAAATAACATACCTGCACCAATTATATAAAAAAAAAATTTAAAAAAAAAACCATTAATATAATTAAGCTTCGAAAAAAAACCTAGAATTTAATCCCAAAAATTGAAAAAAAATTCAAACCCAGAAAAAATTGAAATCGAAAAAACCAGAAAAAAACCTTGAAATCGAAAAAAAATTCAAAATCTGAAAATAAAAACCCAGAAAACAAAAAAAAATTGAAATAAAAAAAAACCTTTAATATTTGATTTTAATGGAAAAAAACCCAGAAAATTCATCAATCTGAAAACAAAAACCCAGAAACGCAAAAAAATTGAAATCGAAAAAAACCCTTACAAGTTGGATTTTAATCGACAAAAACCCAGAAAACAAAAAAATTGAAAGAGAAGTGAAACAAAAACCCAGAAGCGCAAAATAATTGAAACAAAAAACCCTTGATGTTGAAACCTAGAAACGCATAAAAATTGAAACAAAAACCCTTAATGTTGTTGTTGTTGTTGTTGTTGTTGCAGTGGTGTTGTTGTTAGGTTGTTGTGGCGGTGTTGTTGTTGTTGTAGAGAAAGAGAAGTGATTGGGAAGGAGAGATCGAGAAGGAGAGCTAGAGGAGAGAGAAGGAAGAGCAGAGGAGAGAGAAGGGAGAGGAGAGAGTGAAAGAGGCGGACTGAGAGGAGAAAGAAGGAGCAAGGTTTTAGGGTTTTAATTAAAGGGAGAGGTAAGGCCGGTTTTCTTTTTAATAATTAAAAGGACTGGTTCACAAAGGCACCGGTTCAAACCGGTGGCCTATATGTTTTTGGCACCGGTTTGAAGTGAACCGGTGCCTTTTATTTCGGTTCAGTTTCCCACCAAATTTTTAGGCCATTTTTGGCACCGGGTTGGACTGAACCGGTGCCAATTAGGGGGTGCCTTATTGATATTTTCTACTAGTGATAGCACTATAAAAATTAGGATCTTCTTCAGTCATCTTTGTAAAGTGTTGTTCTACAGCAAGTTGTTAGTTGAGACGAACACTACAAGAGGGGAGGTGAATTGTATATGAGTTCCTAGTGACTACTTTTGCGGAATTATAAAACAATGATTTTACGAGGAAACCTTTCAGGGCCCTACTGGAAGTAAAACCTCGACCCTATCTTAGGGATTTCAACCACAAAACAACTTCACTATAATAGGGCAAACACCAAGTTACAACCTACTATAATCAGACCTTTACTCACAAGTTCCGGAACGAACTTGCTACACATTAGGACCCTATCCTACCCAATCTAAGTCCCACACCTAGATTCACTCTTACTCCCAAAGTACTAATTCACTCAGCTTCACACTAGAAGCTTACACACTTTGTATGCAAATATAAAACACACAAACACCCAAATAGCCCAACCAATACAAAGCATATGACACGTAGTATATGTTAGGCAAGTTATGCATAAAACCCGAAAATAATATGACAAGGTTAGAATCTTGGCAAACTTACACAATTTAAAGCTTTGTGATTTCTCCACGCATAAACTCACACGAACCTAATGAAATGAGATCTCTACTATTTATACAAGCTAAGTATAACTCGTATAGCTAGTAGGTTTTCCAAAAGATAAAGATGTTAAATTGCCTTATCTCAAAAACACGGTTTATGTAAATCAAATGTGAGAATTTTATTTTTTTTCGGATATAAGATAGAAAGAAAGATATTAAAAAGAATAAAATCTTTTTAACAAACTAATTTTAATAAACAGATTTGAATAAAATCCTTTCATAAATCTATCCTTTTATCTTATCCATATTTTATCTTATTTGCCAAGCAACTTGTCACGCTTCAAATAGATTTTGTGCAAACTATACTTAACATATTTAACAACAAATATAAAAGATAAAATCTTAACTAAATGTGTTACTGTGCCGATATTTGCATAGTCAAAATACTTAGGCTTCACGCAGGCTAAGTTTCTCAAGAAACTTACTGTCTTCAATGTAGTCAGGGCTGACACCTCATCTTGCTGTCTTCAAGTTCCTATTAGGGAACGTTTCTGTTAAGGAACTTAGTTCTTGTTAGAGAACACTTCTTCTTTGTTTTAACTTTTCTTTTAAAGGCTTCTTCATGTCTTCAAAGCTTGAGTTACTTTTCCATCACCAACATCTATTTCACCTGTACTAATCAAATACTCATATGCCTTTATTAGTTGAGTTTGCTTTAGTTTAAGTTCATCATCATCAAACCTTTAAGCTTCAACACAAGTGCATCCCCTTGAAATAAGATAAGGCGGCATTGCACGTGCACTGCATTTATCATATCTTGCTTGGTGAATGACAATTTTTGAAGGTCCTCCATTCTCAATAACGAACGAATTATAGCTCTTACCCAAAGAGATCTCAGCAACATCGTTTAAAGCCATTCTCTCATAACTATCGTCTTCTATACCTCTATAGTTCACCATGCGCCTTGTACATTCTGGCAAAAGAGGATGATTGTGATCCAACACACATTATGTGATTACAAACCATCCCCATGACATTCTTCCATCAACATATACCTTACATTCTGTACAAGATTTCTTTTTTTTTTTTTCCGTTTGTGCTCTACATTTTTGCTCCTATCTTTGACACTAAGCTTACAATCCATTCTAATACGGGACATCATATGGTATTTTAGCTCCGTTTCCCCAACACCTCTGCAATTAACATCTACTATTTTGTACTCCTTCATCAATGTATCTTTTCTAACATAAAATTCAAATCCTTTCTCATAAGCATACTTATGGCAGCATTGGGCAAATTCTTCACCCGATTGAAACAACATCCCAATAGCTGGGGCTATAGAAGCAACACGATTATTGTCATCAACTACAATGCTATTATTAGGTTAACAGGAACATGATCACCTTTAGATGACGAACTAACATTTTCCTCTGGCTCTTCATTGAGATCAGGAATTACAATATCGTCATTCTGACCGACTTGGTTCATCTCATCCAACACATTGTGTTCAATGTTCACAGCTACACCAGATGAATGTGCTTCGCTCTCCATTTACTGAAACAATACCTCAATACAATTACATACATAATTAACATTTTGGTACTAGAAAATTATTAATGACACAAACATTAACAAAGTAATTCTGTAAATTTAAAAATGTTATATAATATATTTAAGTAACTTATTATAACAGGGGATGTAAAATGCTAAGAAATTCTTAAACTATCAACGAACTCGTGAAACAATCATCACAAATTGGAATAGAAAGACAAACATTCTACCACAATCCTGAAATAATTACGAGCTAAAATTACAGTCTAAAATTACAATGATAATGGAAATATTACCCATCAGAATATAGGGGAAATCAACAATCAATGGGGAAAAATTTTGAATCTTCAAATATTAACAACGAAATTAGATTGCAGAAGTGGGGGAGAATTGATATTATACTTACGTTAGTATAGGTGTTCAATTCTTTGTATAAATTTTTTGCATGCTAAGTTGCTAACTATGTCAATGGTGGCAATAAAGGATTGCATGCTAAGTTCCTAACTTCCCATTTTTAAGACAACGATGATGAAATTAAGTGGGACCCAAATTCACTTTGGCGCTCTATCACAATTTTCCCGCCTTGGAACAACATAATACCGCCAAAAGCCCGGAAAAACTACCGCTCAATTTTCCCTCCCATTATTTTCCCTTCTCTCTTGTTTTGTGTAGGACCAGCTAAGTGTCATTAATTAATTGGAAGTTTGTAAAATGCTCTTGATAGCGGTGTCATAAAGAGTGTTCTTATACAATTGCAATCAATATTAAGTGTCATGAGATAATCCAAAAACATATACATGAATCTATTGCTGGTTCACCACATTATTAGTCTGCTTACCAACACCAATATCCTTTCCTCATGCCTTTTGTCTTCTTCATCCTTATCCTCTTCACTCGTGTTTTGAAAATCTATTATAAACACTTTTTGCGTTCCACAATGACAATGTAAACACACCATCCTCCATCGACAAATATGGGCATAATCACCTATGTCCCATATGTAACACAAATCCGCAAATTCTGATTCAGTTAACATACACAACCAATCTATAGAATTTGGGTTGGGAAAGATCAATGAATAACATAGTTTGTCTTTTCTAATATTAACATAGATTTAGAAGTGAAGACACACCTTCCGCTTATCCTTGAATTTTTTCCCTTCAGTCATGAAATAGTTGTCGATCATTTCCGATTCATCCATCAAGAGTTGTTCTATAACAGGCTTAGATTGTGCATCCTCTTCCAGTAGGTTGCACTGGAAACATAAGTCAATGATATAAAAGTTAAAATAGACAACTATAGAACAGTAGCTTAATATGTGAATTTGGTAATATATATCAAAATTAGCGTACCAAAAATGATGGCCTAAAGACGTAGATTCCATAATCTGCACTACTGGAGTTTTCGTTGTTTGTGTAAACTGCAAATACGTCCATTACCTATTTTTTGTATAACCTAATATTAATAGTGTTTTAAATGGAAAATGCATCCCATACCAACTGTTTGAAAGATAGGTGATCGTTTTATAATTTAATCATTGCCTGTACTGAAATGGGAGACTTCTTCTTACATGCTTTGTGTACTAATTCACGGTTAACTGTTACATCATACCATTTGAACAAAATCTGCTCTTTAAACCTGTTTGATTAAAACACTTATCATTATCTACTCTAACAAAGGAAGGTACACAGATACACATAACGACAATAGTTGTTACTCACCCTACTATAGTTAGACTTTTTGTCACATATCGTCGTGATTCTATGTCCTTGGTGATCAAAAATCTGGGGCAAGCACTCATTGTCATCACGGTCGCTCAGGTAATCGATGTCGGTTTCCACATCCGGATGTGCATTCTTTTCATTTTTGTCATCATCTCCCACCATTAGGCCTTCCCCACCATCATCTTCCTCCATTTTATCTGCCTCACCATCATTTCCCCCATTACCATTCTTACCATTGTCAGGCCCACCCTCATCTCCTTTCCCAGATTTGGGGTTTGTCACCTACTTATCAGCCTCGTCATCATCTCCTTTACTCCCTTCATCACTTTCATTTTCTTAACTATCATCATCATCATCATCATCATCATCATCACCCTCCTTATTCCTATCCTTCTCCTCATCATCGTCATTAGCCTTGTCATCTTCACTGCTGATCTTAGTGCTTAATTCATCCTCACTTGAATCTTTTTTAGCTTTTGCACTTTTCTTTTTTGAGATAACACCCTTGGTTGTTGTTCTGCCACCTTTCCCAGTGGTCCTTGTTTCCATTTTTTTGTTGTACATGTGAGAATTCAATATCATGCTTTTATGAATAATAAGCTACTGTAATATATAACACGATCCTAATAATTATATGCTTATAGGCAATAAATGCTAAACTGTATCAAACACATTGCCATAAACTTTATATTTAACTGATTTACATTTTTATCCCCTTTAACAGGATTTGTCCTTTGTATCAATCTGCTTCTTGCTCTTGTAACCCTTCCTAGGATTAAAGCAGGTGGAACTACATGAAGTTCCTGAAAGAAAACGCAAGCATTAGGACACAGTCGGCATTGTTTATCAAACAAAGCAACCAAATTTAAGACCACAACTTTTACCTCATTCTTTGTCTTGTTTCTGTTACTCTTCTGAGTACGACTCAAAGTGGCTTCTTCCTCATCTCCTTTGCTTGTCTTTAAGAAAAGTTTGAATTATCAATAATCTGATGCATAACAGTCTACATACTTAGTTATTCTCGGTTTCAAATTACCTCTTCTTCTTCGGAAGAACTCAAGTGTTGAATGTCTTTGTAGTCTTTCAAGTCCCTGACCTTTGCTTTGCATTCCCGTCTTTTTCTTTTCCTTTCCACGACGGTTACTTTAGGATTCACAGGAGGCGGACTCCTCATCCACATAGGAAGGTCCTTCCGCGTACCAATAGGGTATTCTTTCCCATACACAACATCCCTAACAACCTAAACAAAATTCAACTGATCAAAAGCATGTTCCTCACCTCTTGTAGGAAAAGCTCAAGTTGTAATTGTATGCAAATAAACAATTATTACCTCCGTTGCACCATACGACCCATCACTAACAGTGTCTGCATGAATCGCTCATTCAATATCATCCTGCTGCCACAATCCAAGCCTTGGTCTATCGGTATGCCACCTATGCCCTTTATCGCCTAATTTCAATCAGTCAAGGTATGCAATCTGTATAGGACAATATTATTATATGAGCATCCATTTATCTGCATCCCTTGACACCACCCTTCTCTGCATCCATTTCTCTGTGCTGCTTGATCATCCAATCAAGCACAAACTTTGAAAAATTCCAATTCCGTGCATCTTTCAGGTACCGCGATTTCAAAATCCAGCATAAAAGTGGACTAATCCAATTGTTCAGAGTTGAACATATTAGATTTCCAAATACATGGAAAATATATGACTTCAAGAACCTATCTTTGTTGTCCAGATTATCTTTTATATCTTGCCGAACCATGCCATAACCTATCCCCCCTCTGTTGGAATAGGAAGTCTTCAGCTTCTTGTACTCTTTGTCCTTTGCATTTAGTACGCACCATAGGGAAAAATATTCAAATTTCGCTTTATACGATCTATACAATGGGAGGTTATAAAAAGTGTTTACATTATCATAATTTGTTTCCAAAGCTGTAAAATCTTATCCTATTACCTGTAACACTGTCTTCAATAGTGAATGTATAATCACTGAATTGTAGCCCATATATCCACCCCACCACTTAATATTGATCTCATAATCATCCCTAATGCGTAGTTACTGGGTTTCAGGATCCCACTGACCAATTAACCACGACAGAAAAAACCGGTCAAGTTCGGTAAACTTCAAGTCTAGAAATGTGGAAAATCCAGCCTCCCTAATCCGTTCCTTTTGAGCATTGCCTTCTGGTACTGCGTCGAAAACTCTGTCTAGATAAATCCTCATGACAGGATACTGCATCACATAATATATTGTCATGTACACTGGTACATTGTAATTAGCTAAAGTAATTTATACCACCAGCATTGTAAAATTTATATTTTATTTACGATAAGATATAACACTTACATGATTTTTTTTTTGTGATCTGGGAGGGATGGCCTTCCGCGCTTTTTCTTCTTCTTTGTTGGTTCAGTTTCTTCTTCTTCACCTTCCATAATGACAATTGGAACGACATTATCGTACTCTATTTCCTTTCCGAGACGACGCTTTCTTTTACTTCTGCTTATGTCTTTACAAGCGGTTCCTAGTAAGTGACAAAACAACTCATTCAATCCTATTATTATTTGCAAGATCTACATTTTGATATTTGGATCTATTATCTACTCATCAAAGAGATATTACGTAGAAACTTACCTCTTCTTGTATGTTCTTATCCCCGAAACCATTTCCACCATGGTCATCCCCAACTTCCTGTCCACTATGCACACGAGACTTATCCCCACCTTGTACTCCAGCTTCCATTCCTACATCCCCTACTGGCGAACTCTATTACATGAAACAGAATAGTCAGATTCATTCCCAATCTTATACAATACAATAAGTTAAATTGCTTGAATCATTTTTGTACTAAGAGAGTCAAGGTTAACTTACTGCAGCTGCCCTTGATTCCTCTCTCACAAGAGCATATTCACCCTGATCAGTGGCATTAGACTCACCTTCTCCACCATTCCTTTTTGTTCGAGGCTATGTATATACAAAATAACAACAAATCCCAAATATTATACAATATAATGATTTAAATAGGAATTATTTTTGAATAAATATAGTCAAGGTGAACTCACTGAAGATGCCCTTGATTCCTCTCTCACAACAGCATCTTCACCGTGATTAGTTCCCTTAGACTCACGGTCAACAACATTCTCTTCTGTTGGAGGCTTTTACCATACAAAACAACAATACATCCCAAATTTTACACAACATAATAATTTAAACAGGAATCATTTTAAGTTGATAGACTCAAGGTGAACTTACTGAAGATACCTTTGATTCCTCTCTCACATCAGCATCTTCACCCTGATCAGTTACCTTAGACTCACTGTCTCCAACATTCCCTTCTATTGGAGGCTTTTTACATTCAAAACAACAAAATATTGAGTCAATGTAACATTGACTCTACACATAAACTTAAATTGGAATCATATGAATACTTCATAAGTTTTAACATCTCACCCCTGATTCATTCGTTGATCTCTCTAATCCAGTTGGTAATTAGTTGAGTACCAAATCTGTTGTTGCCTTGTTGTGGGTTTCAATACTAGGATCCACTACAGTACCCTTCTGTGACTGTGCTAGCCCAGAACCACTTGTCTGCACAAAATGTGACGAAATATAATTATACACTTCACTAGGGAAAAATATGGGCTATAACACTAATTATTGTTGCTAGAGTGTTACATGAAATGTATCATTTTTGGTTTATTAGTGTCAAATAAATAATCATCATTGCCTCTTAACCAAAAGGAACTAATCAATCTTGCAACACATTACAGTAAATTTCCATAAAAATATTTTGGTGGAACACATGACTTACTTCACTTTCAGGATTAGGGTCAGCATTATGTTCATCTTCTGTAACTTTGCTAGGCTCAGGACCAGCAACATTTGATGCTTCAATCTGATTCTGTCCAGTATACAATTTACTCAAATTCTTGCAATAAAAACAGCGCTTCTAAATTGATTAACAACATGTCAAACATATTATAAATTGTTACCTCAGACTCAGACGCAATTGTTGATGCCATAGAAGTGACATCTAGCCATTTATTCGTTGCAGGATTGCTGTTTAGACCATCCTTTGGATTGATGAAAGTAAAATGGAAACAGTTGTTATTTAATTTACTGATCGGCTTGTTGGTTTTTTTTTAAAATGACCATATTAATTAACACAAAATATCAATGTAATTAGCGAAGCCTTTTCTGCATACGTAGTGGACGATCCTGTTAGGGTTTTAAAGCATTCTATGCAATTAAAAATACTTTTTATTTTTTATTTTTCCAGAACAACAACAATCGGAACATCATGCAATAGCAATGCCAATTCAACAAATTGAGTTATGCAAATCGCTAATCCATAAATCAGGGTACAAATAAGTAATTTCTAAGAAGTTTCAATCAATTTGCAAGTTGAATCATAATTTGAATTGAACACAAAGCTTGCAATTTTCCAAATTAAAGTACTACTACAATCAAGAAATAATGTAATTGCATGAAATTATGTCTAAAAAACGAGTAAGACACTTACGATTCTCCAGACGCATCCATGGCGTGTTGAACCTTTAGTTGGCGTGACTTATTGTGAAGTTTTTAAATTTAAGTAATGTTTTGAAGTGATTGAAGAGGAAAAGTGAGGAGAAAATGTGTAGAAACGTTTGAACTTTAAGTTAAAATGGAGAAAATGAAACGAAGGTGTGCTGACTATCCCTCTTCTTGAATTAAGTCTCTAACCGCTTTAAATGGAAATTAACCGTATTTAATAAGCAATTTTTTTAAGGATAATTAATTAATATTAAGTCATTATCAAGAATCCAAGATAAATTATTAAATGAGTACATTATTTAATTAAATTAGGAATCCGTATTATTTCTATTTTATAATTGGTTTGTTTTTTAATTGAAGAACGCGTTGTATTATTTAATGTTTCCTATAATCAACATTAATTTGATTTATTAAAACTAATTGTTTAGTAAAAAAATATTACACAATTGACTAAAAATAAATAAATAATAATATATTTAAATTTAAAAATAAATTAATATAGAAATAAGTAAATAATGAAACCAGAAAATCTAGATAATCTACAGTTACCAATTGTAAAATTCCTAAAACAAGGTGTAAGCATAATTATTTTTTAAAAATAAAAAAGGATAAACCAAAATATAATTTGCATGATAATCTCTGACATGTCAAATCAGAAGTCTAGCAGTAGTTTTAGTTCTATAGGGTTGTCGGCTTGTGACTTATGAGGTCCAATAGTTGCATTGTTTTAATTTTTTATTTTTTAACTTAAGAAGTAACTTAAGCATACACGTTCATGAAAATATGGGCAACGTGCCGTGCCGTGCCGTGCCGGATATTGGCACACCCCAGCCCACGGCACGGCACGGCCCACATGTCTTGTGGGCCGTGCCGTGTCGAGCCGCGGGCCAAACCGTGCCACCCTTTTATTTATTTATTTATTTTTATTTTTTTTAATAAATGAAAAAAAAAACGAATTAAACGATATATATTTTTTTTAGTACAACTTAATATATGTGATTAATTTATGTTTATGTTAATGTTAATATATTTTGTTTTCATTTTTTGAACAACTTTATTTTAATTTAGGTTATGTAAATTATTTATCTAATTAATAATTATGTTTAAGTTTATTTAAACAAATAAAAACAGTTTTTATTAATTTAACAAAAATCAATAATGCATATAATAAAAAAAAATACGAGTGTGATAGTCCGAAAACACAAAAAATTGAAGAATAACTTATTTTATTATATGACGGTAGCCGGTACGAATGTACGATGATTCAATAATACAAAATAAGTAATGATAATTAAAAATCGTACAATAGTGTATGAATATTGAATAACTTCATTTATTATACGGAATACGAAGTTCGATAATACAAAAAGAATACAATAGTGTATAATGTAAATATGTAATCATGTAATTATTATTGGTCGTCTTCGTCTTCGCCTTCATCTTCATCTTCGTCTTCGTCTTTGTCTCCTAGAGGTTCAAGTTCATCCGCCAATTGAGTTGATTGAGAAGTATGAGAACTAAAAGAAGTCGACGTTCCTTCATCGTCGTCGTTTTGTGCATAAGTACGATCTTGAGAACGAGTTTTGGCATCCAACCAATCCTTGAAGAAAACACACATTTCAAGTGTTTGGGGTTTTAGTCTTGTTCTTCTATCGTCCAAAACTCGTCCCGACGCACTAAAAGCTCTTTCGGAGGCAACGGAGGAGACTTGGATAGCAAAAATATCACGAGCCATTGCCGACAAAATTGGATGTTTCACGGTTTGTGATTTCCACCAATCGAGGATGTCGAGGACAAACTTCTCTTCATCGTCCATGCCTTTCATGAAGTTGTAACTTAAGTACATTTGCAACTCCGAAACATCGCTTTGTGTTCTCTTACTTGATGATGATTCCGTACCTGAAAACTTGGATATCATGTTAGCAGCTTGTGCAAATAAACCTTTGGCCCGTTTACTTACATTTTTGGATGTTTGAGTAGGGGAAAATTGAGACACGGTTCCATATTTACTTTCATAAACTCTATATAAAGAAAAAAAATCATTAGTCACTTCCCTCCCTTGGTATCGGCCGAGAAAATTTTACCACAAGTCCGACACTTGTCTTTTTGTCCATTTTTACTTAATTGATAATGTGACCAAACTTCACTCTTTCTTTTGGTTTGAGCAAAATCCTCTTCTGTACACCACTCTAATATGTTAGGATTTTGGGTGTTGGGCATTTGGGTGGATGGTTCACTCAACTCGGAGGCTTGTGTTTGGCTACCTTGGGAAGGAGGAGGAAAAGGAAATTCATGTTGTTGAAATTGGGTTTGTTGAAAATGGGTCCAAGGAGCCATATCATCCATTTGTTATTGCCCTCCCGTGTTTTGGGGATGAAAGAAAGGGGTGGAAGTGTTTGGAAAGGGCATGTTGGGGGGGGGGCATAGGCATTGAAGTGTTTGGGTTTAGTGATTCCCTACGTTTTGACTTGGCTTTTCTAGAGGAGGAGGAAGCGTTCGGGTTTGATGCCATGATTAATTAATAATAATAACAAAAAAAGTAACAATAACAACAACAATAATAATACAAATAACAATAACAAAGTAACAATAACAATAATAATAACAATTAACAACAATAATAATAACAATAACAATAAGAATTAGTAAGTAGTTTTTATATAAATTAAATTTTTAAAAATAATTATAATAATAGTAAATTACTTGGATCAATGAGATCCCAGGTAGGAGAGGTTAGGAGCGACGTTGTCCAGAGCCCAAGTCCCGCCTTAGACAGATTTCAACAATCCAAATAACCCACAATTAAAATAGAAAGTAGTTTTTATATAATTAAGTAGTTCCAACTTCCAAGAATACAATAATAATAATAATAATAATAATAATAATAATAACAATAATAATAATAATAATAATAACAATAACAATAACAATAATAATAATAATAATAATTTCCCGAATTTATAATTTCCCGAATGTAAATATAACAATTTTTTTTTTTTGGTAATAGACTAATAAAAGTAATAATAGTAAAAATGTAAAATTTATAAGAGAGTAGGAATTTTTTTTTTTTCACAAAAGAGAGCAAGATTGTAGGATTTGTAGGAATTTGAGAATTGAGAATTTGGGAGTAAGAAAATTAGAGAATAAGAGAGAAGAGATGAGTTGATGAATTGTGAAAATTTTGGAGGAAAATATGAGGTATTTATAGGGAATTTGGGTGGGAAAGGGGGTGGAAAACTAGCCGTTTATAGCTATTGGAAAACGACCAAAAACGGCTAGTTTTCCAACGGTAATTTGGCACGGGTCGTGCCGTGCCTTGCGGGCTCGTGTCGTGCCCGGCCGTGCCGGCGGGTCGTGCCAGCGTGCTGGCCCACGTGCCGGCCACCGTGCCACCCGGCGTGCCACGTGCCGTGCCCGTGCCAAATTCCAGAAACTTGTTCACGGCACGGCCCACAGGTGGGCCGCCGTGCCGTGCCGGAGTCGTGCCGGCACGGCCCGTGCCCATGTTTATTCATGATTACTATTTACATGTTATGATACATTCATTTTATTATGTATTTGTTCTTATTATTTGACACCATTTTATAAGTATTGGGAATTTTTAATTTACGTGATTGTTAAAAAACAATTGTACATTTGTATCAGTAACAATATAATTGATACAAAATAATTTGTTAAAAAAAATTGATGCTTTATTGTTTACAAGGTACGAGACACACGCTACGCGTTTACATTAGATGAAATTTATTAATTTACTCATATTATTGTTATTGTAGATATTTTCGAAAATCAATCCTTACATAGACTTAAATTTTAAGAATGAAAAAAATGTCAGTAGGACATCTACTCCACTTTGAATGCCTCAATTAACCTTAAAAATTATTATTGATCATGGAGTTTTTATATAAAAGGTTGAAAACTATAGAGTAAATATCTACGGTAATAGTACTTATACAGATTAGATAGATGTATAATTTTTCCTTTTATTTTTTTTAATAAAATTTTAGGTTTTTTTTTTCTTTGTATCGTAAATTTTTTCAGAGAGAATTATACTGGTAATTATTTTCCTTTATTTTTTTTAAATAAAATCATGATATAGTTATCTTTCATCAAAGATTAACGTGGTTTTTTTCAATTAAAAAAAAAGGTAAATGTGGTTTATGGTTAGTTACAATTTTTTTTTTATTTAATAAAAAGTAGCTGATTTTGGTTTGTTTTTGGTGATAATAATTATGGTTTGTTGGTAGTTAGTTTTTATTTATTTTTTAATAATTTTTTATTTATTTTTTATTATTGTTTTTTTGTTTTGAAGAATAGATAATTTTTTTTGAGCAGTTACGAATGAAGTTTTTTCTTTTTTTAAAAAAAATATATTAATTAATGAATAAGTAATTTTGTAAATTGAGAAGGGCATTTTGGGAAAAAACAAATTTATCACCCAAAAGTCCCTTTCTCTTTATATAAGAGTGTAGATAGAGGTGTATATGGACCGAGCCGACCAATAAATTACTCTGGTTCAAGATCGGTTGAAGGTTGTTCATGTTCGTTAATGTAAAAAATGAGCCGAGTTTGAACAAAATTTGAACACCGTGTAATAAATGACCTTGAACACAAACATCTATCTACAGTACTATATATAGAGATAGAGCATCTTGGTTGAAAATTTTCACTTTCCCCAAAATGCCCTTCTCCATTTTCAAATTTACTACCACCCTTTTTTATAACAAACTACCAACTTAATTTATTTTTTGTTTATATAAACCAATTTTAACACACTAATTTTTTTCTTAAATATAATATGATCAAATTCTGGAATAAAATAAGAATCCGGCATCTTGAGATAATACGTACATTGTACAGGCATGCATCATGTGCGTCTCTTTAGGGTTAAGGGTTTTGGGTTTTGGGTTTGTGTTTCGCTAATCATTTTATGTACATATGCTATTATAATCTTAAGATCCGGTTACATACACAAAAAAAAACATATAACTTGATTGCCGAAGTTTTTAAAATCTATCATGTAATCGATTTTATTAGGTTTTCTATTCTATCAATCAGGTGCAATGATCATAATCTCATTCAATTACACTCTATTGGTATTAAACAACATCATTGTATTCCTGTCAACCTTGTATTCTCATAATTATTGCCAAAGCTTGAATCAAGATACAATCATACGGTATTGAGATTATTTAATCTAATTTTGCAATTAATTGTATTATCGTCAAGGCTGAAATCGTGATACACTCATATGCTAATGAGACTGTATAATCTCATGTTGTAATAAATCGTACCATCGATACGGCTTAAATCATTATAAATGCATATGGGATTGAGATTGCGTCATCGCATTTTGTAATAACTCGTATAATTGACATGGCTAAAAGCATGACACGCTTATGTGGTATTGAAATACTACCTCCGTTACATGTTATGTGTAACGATTAGACATTTCCCCTCTCTGCTTTATGTCAAATCGTTGCACATAACCTGTAATGAAGGTAGTAATACACTCATAAGGTATTGAGATTGTATAATCTTCGGATTTAATCATTATACACTCATCTAATCACATGATAATGAGATAATTGAATTTTAATTTTTAATCAATCTTGTCCACCCATGATTGATTACCCAATTCACAACACATTTGTCTCCATCTCTTGATTCATATCTATTAGAAAACATTTAAATTCCCCTTTTTTTTCATCCAAAATTTAAATTTTACATACAATTATCAACAGATTTCATTTGCAAAACATTTGTATTTTTATTAATTAATAGGACAATCCTTTACAAAATACTTACAAAACATACAAAAACTACACACTAATCCTACCTAAGAAGTTATTTCAACCTTTCCTTCACAGGAAAAAAAAAGTTATTTCAACATAAACTCCAAAAAAAGAATTATTCCTTTATTAAAAAAAAAAGAAGTTATTTCAACATAAACTTACAAAACTACCCACTCATTTCATCAATCAGTCTTGTCAAAGGCAAATTAAAACCGTCATTCTCCATTTTCGAATTTCACTCAAAATAAAAATATAAATATATAAAACCTCAAAAACTCTAATCCATTCCCAAAAAACTCAAACATTTTTCTCCTTCAACATGGTTAAAATTACGGAACTTTCGGATGAAGATGACGTCTCCATCATTGATGGTGTAAGTGTATCTTACTGTTAATGTCTTCCCTCAATTATGTTCATCATGTTTACATATTGTGGTGCCATATATTCTTAACTTATTTTTTGACCGTTAAAAATGAATATAGGCACTAAATCAACCACAACCAAAGAACAACGAAGAGGAGCATGCCATCGAAGAGGTGTTGTGCATTTCTTTGTAATTTTAATTTTTATAGTAAATAGAGTATTATTATGTACAAATGTTTGGAACAAAAGTTACAATTAAATTTTATTTAATTTTTGGGTAATTAGATTGATATCCTTTTTTATTGTTCGTTAATTACTCATCCTTGTTGTGGTAGGATGTTCATCGTTAAGGGAAGCGTCCTTTAGAGTGCGATGAAGACGATGGATCATCATCATCTTCAGCAAAGCGGCAAAAGGTGTTTAATCGTCTTAAATTTTCAAGCACCAATTTTTTATGTTTATGTTTACATTGTGCGAAAATAGAAACAACATGTGACAGAGAAAAAGATTTATTTTTGATTTTTTGTTTTTTTTTTAACATAACTTTGTTTATTAATTACAACTGCGTTATTAGCAACAACTTAGTACCAAAAAAAAAGGGGTGAATTGATTAGTTTAATCACTATTCACTCTTCTCACACATATATATTATTTTATCAATTTATCCCCTAAATCTATTGAATTATTAAATAATTTTTATAAATTATTAATTAATTTTTATTAATTATTATATGCTTTCAGCATGATGTCATCATTGGAAATCAAGTGGGCACTAAAGAGTAATAGGGTGTAATATGGATTGTTTGGATTTTAAGTTTGGATTTAATAGGGTGTAATAACGTGTGCACTATTAATAAGTAATAGTGCACACGTTTTTTTTTAATTGTAATTTGTAATAACTAAACAATCCCCAAGTGTGTAATAACTTGTTGATTTCGTAATAACTTAACAAGTTACCATAAAATAAGTTGATTTTGTAATGGTCACAAATTGCCATAAACTTGTTTTGGATTTTAAGTTATAAACTTATCACTCATTTGGATTTTAAGTTAGTCCTATGATTTTAAGTTGGTCATATGACAAGTTATGACACTACAAGTTCATTAAACAAGTTGATTAGGTTGAAGTTGAATGTTGTGTTATGACAAGAGTCCCTTGAAGTGTCATAAGGATCACATAGGTACTTAAAGTGAAATAAAGAGTCCGTGTAATATAGCTTGAGTCTACTTAAATCTAACCTTATAAACCAAACATAAGGAAACCAAACGAGTGTCCTTTTGGCCCATATACACCTGTCCAACTACCCTTTCAAAAATAATCCATACCCAACTACCTAAGTTTATAACCGACTACCCTTTTATTTCTTGAAAGTTTTCCTTCTCTTTCTCTTTTCACTTAATTCAATGTTGGTTATTTAGTCCTTTTGCTTTCTTTACAAGTCCTTTCTGCTGCTATTTAGTATTTACTACCTTCACCACCCTACTGTCCATGGATTTGGTGAACCCAAAAATGGCAGGTTAAACGGGTTTGGGTTGATCCATTTATTGTACTTCGAAACAATATAAAAAAATTTCTAGTTAAACTGGTTAGCTTGACAGATGAGGTTAAGGTTCAGGAATTGAACCCAAAAACTTAACAGTTTAGGTTCAGATTGGGGTAGTCAAATCTTGTAGAGTTGACCCGAACACAAGCACGGCTTGATTACCAGCCCTAGTCCGTATACTGATATTAGCTAGATGTAAAGCACTTAGAGTGATCAAGGACGGAATCAATAATAATATTTCGGATGAAATTGCAAACAGTACAATACTAAAATGGTTATATATTCTTAAAAGTTCTAGTATGGTCACTTTTATTATGGCCATGACTATACTTAAATATGATTGAAACGTTATTTTTAGTTTTTTCTATTTTTAATTCTTTTTCATTTATCCAGTAATTAATTATTAATTTACCGGAATTACTTTCTTTTTTTTCAAATTATTTAAATAAAATCAGATATTAATTAAATCTAAAAATAAGATAAATTATATAAATAAAAAATATTGTTCTTCATAGTTCTTTAATGTTCTTCAAGGTACTTCAAGGTTCTTCATCCATGGAAGAAATTCTTAACCAATCCACGATATTTATCCCTTAAATTCACTCCCTCATTACCGGAGAATGAACGTATGCCTCTAATCAACGCACCATCTGCGATTTTTTATTGTTTGCAAAAATCAGGGTTCGTGCGAACTTGGGTTGTTTCTTAATTCTAAATAATACATTTTAATTGGACCATCTCAATCAATCAAGGGATGCAAAATCTACGATTATATGTATTCGTAAATCTAAAATTTTCACGTTTTCGATTGTTCGTGGAGAAAAATCTTGGAAGAAACCATAAAATATTTTCTTCAAAACCTTGTTTGATCCAAAAAAAAGGATCAGAAGACGAAATTTTAATCTTGTTATTATAATAGGTATACACCAATATGCTAATAGCACAGGACATATTATAAACAGTTTTATTGTCGATTCGTCTACGACCATAAAAAGTTTTGTAATCACATTGAATGCTATGATTATGACTTTTCTGATTATATTTATGTTATCATCAAATAATTTTCATTAGATTATCAATGTAAATTGAATTAAATTAACAATTTAGAATTGATCTAATTAAATTACAATGAAGACTTTAACATGTTTATTATCAGCACAAGGTTATGATTGCATACAATATATGTCATTATATTAAGAAACGATATGTGCCAAAGCTTAGTCATGAAGTATTTATTTAGAAATGTGATACGGGTAATTAAATTTTAATGAACGACTTCTGAATTATTCATTTAATCTAATACTAGTGTGATTTTTGAAAATTAAAAAGAAATAATACTATAATATTGTTTTCCAAAAAAATAGCTAATCAACAATTATACATATGGATAACTTAACAATTGAAGTCTATATGTCATTTAATATTTGACAAAATAATGTTAGGCCAAATTTATTTTACATATAAATCTTACAATATGTGAATTCAAAAATCACGGCTTAAATAAATTGAGGCATTATAATTAATTACTTATCATCATAATGTATTCCATATATATTGATATAAACTTTTTAAAAAATCGGATCATCTGTTAAAGTTATTCTAAAATGAGCAAAAGTTACCCCTGAAATGAATAAAAGTTACCCCTGAAATGTATAAAAGTAACTTAATACAAATTAAAATTATCTATGTTTTATTAGTAAAGAATCACATTTTAAATGACTAAAAATCATTCATTAGTGATTAAACGTAATTAAATTACCTTTATAAATTTTTTCTTATTGTCTATTTATATAAAAATTGTATTATGTTTAAAGATACCCAAAAAGGGCAAAAATTTACCCTAAAATTAGCTAAAAGTTACCCTTATACTGCTCGATTTACACTATTATTAGTGTAAACCGAGTATATACAAAAGTAATTAATATATTGATATTATCCTAATAAAGTGGTAATATTTGACTTTCTTGTGAATTTTTACTAAGATCTAGCATATTAACTCAAGAGTACGTGTAACATTTGTCTTAAAGATAAAATTTATAGTAATCATGCTAATTTCTATAGGAGTAGTATTTTGGTTCCTATCTTTTTGTAAAGTATTACTTAATTAAGATAACGGCTCGTCTTGTGTGCGACCGGCCACACCGTTTGACCACTTAAAGTAACCCTTATAACATTGATTAGGTAACCCTGTAATACCAATCAAGTAACCTCTATAACACTGACCGAGTAACTCTTTAATTATGATGAAGTAACCCCCATTACACTAGCAAAGTAACCCCTGTGACTGGCCACACCGTGTGGCCAGCCACATATAAGACTTTGTGTTAAGATAATATTCTTTTCCATAACATGATGTGCAAGAATATGGAAGTTATATTAATGTTTTTGTTTTTGGAAACATAATAATTGATATTCTTATGATATGAGCCATATGAGCCAAATAAGAATCACTAAATATTCCATTATCCCACTTTAATAGGATAGTATTAATATATATGGAATATAATTTATTACAATAATAGATAATTACTTATAATAATTAAAAGACATTTAAACTTCAATTGTTAAGTTACCCATATATATAGTTGTTGATTAGCTATTGTTTTTGGAAAATAATATTATAGTACGTATTACTTTTTTAATTCACAAAAATAATGCTAGTGACAGATTAAATGAATAATTCATAGGTCATTCATTGATATTTAAAAAGTTGAATCACTTTTCTATATAAATTCAAGACATAAGCTTAGCATATATCGTTCATAATGTAATGACATACAATGTATAAGGTCATAACCTTATTATGATGGTAAGCATATTAAAGTCTTCATTGTAATTCAGATAAATTTTAATTCTTAAATTGAGTTTGCATTTAATAATTTAATGAAAATTGTATGATGATAACATAAATATAATCACAAAAGTGTTAATCATAGCATCCAGTATGATTACAAAACTCTCTATGATCATAGACGAAATAACAATAAAACTTTTTGTTAAAGGTAATGTCCTATTAGGATATTGTTGAATACCTATTACAAAAACAAGATTCGAAATTTCATCTTCGTTTTTTAGATCGAATAGGGTTTTGAAGAGAATATTTCACGGTTTCTTCCCATATGTGCCGGACAAATCCGGATTTTCGAAAAAATGAAAATTTTATGATTTTTGGTTACATATAATCACCGATTTTTGCATCTCTTGATTGAGATTGTCTAATTAATATGTATTATTCTATAATTACAAAACAATTCGGATACGCACAAACCCTTATTTTCATAAACAAAAAAAAAGTTGCAGATGGTGTGTGATCGAGGCATATGTTCATTCTCCGTTGATGTGTAAGTGATTTTAAGGGACAAAAATAATAAATTGGTGGTTAATTTCATCCATGGATGAAGTACATTGAAGAACAATGTATTGATTTTAATTTTCTTAATTTAATCTTAATTTTTTACTTTATTAAAAAGTGATTTTAATAAGATATTTATGAAAATAAAAAAGATTTTCAAAAAATCAAATATTGTTTTTTGGAAAAAAGAAAAAGAATTAAAAAAAAGTGGTTTGAACAAACATTTTTTTTAAAAAGAGGAAAAACAAACCAATAGGATTTGAGGATAGTCATGACCATTTTAAGGATGACAATAGTAGAAACACCCATATATTCTGCCCAAAATTGGTGATCCAAGAAACTTGTAAATGTCTTAGTATACTTTGCACAACCCCTTAACCTTTCCTGATTCCCATTATAAATTAATCAGATCGCTCGAATGGAAGTTTAACCTTTGCTTTCCCACTTCGAGTTGAATTTGGCTTGTACAAAAGATTGCCTTTGTTTAAGAGGCTTGTTTCTTGTCCATGTAGTTTCCCGATTTTGATGGGCAAAATGTGTCACTTGGGCAGCCTTGAAGGAAATATGGTATCTCCTGATTTATGCCCTATAAACTCTTTGTAATTACCCTTACACTGTCAAAAATAGGGTCGATCAAATTTAGTATGCTTCCATAAGCTACCTTAGAGAGAGTTTCTGGAGTATTAATATTTTCCTTTTATAGTTGCTTGTTTGTTGCAGGAAAAGTTTTTAACTTGGTCAATTATCCCTTTGAGACC